AATTATGTATTCTTCAATATTGAGCGCTTCAAAAGTTAAGCATCAATTATTAATTTTATATTAATATAGTATTTAGATTTATCGAAGCATTTAATCAGTCTATAATCTAACTCTTATTTACAATCACTACAACGAGCAAGTTATTCATTTTATATAGCATTTTACACTTTTCTGATGATATCAAAACAGTTTAAAGTGTGACAACATTAAAAAGTTAAGGTTTTTAAATGAAAATCAACTATAACACTTAACTTGTCACAGTTTTGGCAATAATAATTTTAATTATGAAAATAGGTCACTATACAAAAATAATTGCAATCGTTGGTTTAACACTTGAAAAAAAGGTATTTAGTAGTATTTACAAGTATTTATTAAAGTTAATTATTATGCTTTTGTTCTTCCTGATAATATAATTAATTTTAATAAATATCGTTTTGATTTTAATTAATACTTTATGAATCGACTATTATTGGGATATTCTCCATAGGTTATTGAACATTTGGACCTGGATTTGGATTTGAAATATGTCTAACCAAATCTATTCTTTTATCTCTTGGTCTTTATTATAGGTTATTTAATTATTAGTTATCAGGTTTAGAACTCTTAACTCTAAATTGGTTAACCTCACAAGGCTATTTATTTCTTAGTTGATTATCAGGACTTTATTCAATTACTGTCTGCAAAAATCTTTTTCGACCAGAAAAGAAATTCTACAATGATGAATAATTATTATCTCCATTCTCAAAATTATTTTCAGGAACTTAGAAATCCAATTGTTATGAAGGAAAAACTTCTGTTTTAATTTTAAAAGCATTGCTTAATTATTTTTGTAGAGTGACTTTGCTTCTCTATTATTTTGTTATAGTTGCCACAGTGTAATTAGAATTAATTAATTAAGCTGGAGGTTATAGTTCTTATGAATCGATTTTATATTTGAGAGTTATATTGTTTCTTATTTCCCTTATTTATTGTTATAAGCTTAATTCTGGTTGTAAGATAGTATTTTCGTATTGAAGAATGATATTTTGATTGCCATGTTATTCTTTTAGCTTATTCACAATCTCTTTAATTTAATTCTATTAATTATATTGGATATTTGTTATTTAATTTTCATTTTCAGAGTTTTATAAAGTCAATTTTATGAAATTATTTTCTGTATTGTAGGTTCTTTGTGGTCTAGGAGGTTTTGCATTAGAGTTGATTTGTGAAAAAAACATGTCTTTGCCTTGTTAAAATTGTTATTGTTCTAAGATTAATGATTTTTCATTTATATGTTAAATTGGAGTTTGCTAATTTTATGATTTTGGAAATATGGATTTTAGATCTTAATAACTTTCTTGCCTATTCAGAGCAGGTAATTGTTTTGGTATATCTTTGCTCAAAAACTTTTCTTAACTATTTAGATTTTTTCTTTAGTATATCGTTGCCTTTGATTATGAGTGATCCTGCCCGAAGCTTAAGTGGTAATTTTAATTGTCCTCATAAAATTATTGATAATAATAAATATTTTTGATAATTTAATAGAAAATTGTTACTTGTGCCTATTTTAATGATAAATAACTTTTCTTTGCCTCCTACTTTATCATGATATGAAAGGATTAAGATATGATCATTATTTAATAGAATATAATATTCAAAAATTATATATATTATAATAATTATAATAGATATTGAATGAATAATAATTAGATTTCGTATAGAATTTAGACAAGATCGTTATCAGGTGATAAAATGCTGGTTGTATTGTAAAATCTAGATTAATTTCCTCCTTAATAATACCAAAAATCAATGAGAATAAATAATTCAACAACAATTTTGGATATTATATAAGCAATATCGAATAATTTGGAAAATCAAGAGGAAATCCAATTATATTTTTAGATGGATCAACTTTTTACTGGAAATTTGAATGAGCTAGCTCTGAACAAAATTAAATAAGAAAAAACAAAAACTATATACTATAGAATTGTGAAAAGAAATAGGTCACAACCTCATAATCTCTTTAGTAACATCCAATCACCAAATTTTAGAAAACCATAAGAAAAGATAGCTTAATTGAATCAAAGAAGTCCAAACTACAAGAATATTATTTCGCCAATCTAAAGAGGGATTCATATCGAAAATGTTCATTAAAATAATAATAATTAGGGAAATTTTATATCTATAAAACAAGAAAACTAATCTATGAAGTAAATCTAAAATCATTATCATAAGAAATTCTTTAGAACAGTTAAAACTTTAGTCTGCTGAATTTTAAAAATAAAATTAGGAGTTGGTTAATGAAAGAACATTAGCGAATAAGTAAATCAGAATGAATTGCTTAATAATATAAGCTTCATAATAAGAAAATGCAAGTTTAAGGTAATAATTCTATTAATTAATAAAGCTAATTAAATTAATAACTTTCTAATGAACTAGCTTTACTGAAGTAGAATTTTTCTGAATTGGAAAATCTTAGGCTTGAAAACAAAAAAATCAAGTAGTATTCTTTTATATTCTAGAGATGAAAATACTTAGGTTAAGCTCTTTTCTAAATAAATGCTAATGGAAAACGATTAATTAAGAGAATAGATTTCTTAACTCCTCAAGTACTAATCTTAATTAAATAAAGGGAATAGCAGAAGTTAAATAATCTCCAATAAGAAAATTAAAGACTTGTTCAGATAATAAATGATTCTAAAGAAAAAGCTAATCTTAATTCTTAAAATTAGATATAATTTTAAAATTACTTGAGCACTAAATCAAATAATGATGGAAATTCTCTAGAAAATTTAGAATAAAAATAGAATTAATAGTAAATATAGAATCTAGCCCAAAAATTAAAAAAAAGTATGCCATCAAATTTAGAATCTAATAATAAAAATTTGATAAATAAATGTGGCCATTCATTTTCATTATAATAATTAGCATCGTCATAAAACA